TTTTTTTTTTTTTTTTTTTTTTTTCATGCTGCGTGTAGCGACATTGTTCGTCGAATGGCTTGATACTTACATTGAAATTGAAATTGAAATTTGAATTTAAATATCAGTTAAGTAATTTGAATTTAAATGGCGTCCTCTCGATGCAAAGAAGATGGTAATTTTCTCACTGGACCGGCTTTGTTGGATCATTGAACGTGTTTTTTCCTTTCCTCGGAGAACTTGATACACTCGCGAGTAACCTGTACATGCACGTGCACCGAACAAGTAGATATAACAGTTTTTGGTCAGCCATCGACGACTGAAAACGCGGCCCAATGTCGCTAGCGTTTAGATCAGTGGTTCCCAACTTTTTTTTCTTTTTGGCCTGCATCTAAACCTAACCTAAACCTGAACATCTCTAAAATCCTGGCGACGCCCCCTCCCCTTTGATACATAATTCTTATTGTTCAAAAAGTAAATTTTCGACGCGGAGGAAGCCTCAAATAGCTAAACAAACTTTAACTTCCAAGACGATGACATCCATGAAAGAAACAAAGGATAAGAAAGTTAAATTTTCATTTAACAGGTGCCATGTTGATCAACGAAGCAAATTTAAATATACATGTGTTAAAAATTAAAGAACTTTAAGATTACAAGGGAAAGAATACTGCTTTTACTCATATTTATTATGTAAACGTATGCGGTATAATGACGCATTGATAAATACCGAAATAGCCAACAGGCTTACAGATTCGACAATAGTTTGCAGACTAAAGTTTACAATAGGTATGTAGCCAGCTGGTGTAAACAAAAGTTTCGAAAAATTGAGAAATCGGCACTTGGTGGTGGATGAAAACTGGCTGATCGGCACTTCAATCTTCGCGATTGAACGCAAACGCCTCGAGTACTCGATGAAGTAAACGGTGGATAACGTTCACTTTTGACACGCGTACGATCCCGTACGTGAGAAGGATATTTAACGGGCGGACCGTTTGCCTCTTTCTTCTTCACTGATATCTTTCCGTTTTTGTGTTTCAGGAAAAAATAGAGTATATATTTCTTGTGATTTTTACGGTCGAGTGCGTTATGAAGATCATCGCTTACGGTTTCGTGGCTCATCCCGGCGCTTATCTTCGAAACGGATGGAATATATTAGATTTCTCGATAGTAGTGATAGGGTGAGTATTTTTACTTGTTTTTTTTTTTTTTTTTTTTATTTCGTACGTCAGTTTGCATAGAACGGGCAACGATTCGAGATTACGATTCGGTTCTCGATCGTTGTCCGTTAGTGCGTGGCGCGAACAACAGTCTGTTTTTTAATTAAAGTCCAGTTGAGTGTGTATGTCTGCTCGAAAGTCTGTCATTATACAGGATGTTCCATAACTGGTGATGAAATGCGTGAAAAAAAAAATAAGTCGAATAAGAGAAAGAATGAAAGCTTCATTTTCGTGGAAATCTCTCAAGCATGCCGGAATTTGGCTATATTTGGATACGCGAGGATATTTCGTGCAAAAATAAGTGAAAAGTTTGCAGTGAAATTCTTTCGTTTAAGGTTAGGTTTGTCATTTTCGGGAAAATGTTTCGTTAAAAATTATCTTAGCACTTGATATATATATAATATATTCAAATATACTTGATGTATATAAGAAAATTTTATCTTATGGAAAATAACCTTCCGTTGATTACGGAAGAATTAACTAAATTCAGATGTACTTGATATAAATATTCAAATGGAATTTTGTCGAAAACGAGACCTCGAACGAAAAAGTTTCCTTCTTCCTTCGACTCACTTTTTCACGTAGAATCGCCTCTTATTTATGGGACACCCTGTACGGTACATATTTTCGATTTATGAAAAATCGTTTATCGCCAACAACGCGATCTCCTCCGCAAGGAAGCAGAACTACGTTTGCAATTGATTCCAACGTCATTCTACAAGTTTATCGGCCCAAAGGGAGAACACGCGCAGCTCGTAAATTGGCGATTATGAGAATCAGTTAGTGCCAATAACGAAAATTTTACTGCACATAGATTTCTCGATTCAATTTTCTACCGTCGTTGCTTCGACTTTCGTCGCGTCTCCGTGATAAAAAAGCACTCGTGTTCTTGGACGCGATCGCATCGAGTCGACACGCAACCTAACCTCCTTTTCTTCGTGTTCCATTCTTCGATTCAATAAGTTCTGCTTATTTCGCGAAACGAGACAGTTCTGCTGTTTCGGCTTGCCAGTCAAAATGATTTTCGTTTCGGTTCATGTTGCGTTCTTTCACCCTTACGTTGTCCATTGTCGACTATGTCTGTTTGCAAACTATACAGGTCCGTTCAAGTGAGAGACCTAACCTAAATATCTCTTCTCGAACGATGCAAAAAATATTTTTCGCTGGATATGAATGGTATCGAAAGGTCAATAACTGGGCAAGAATATTCCTTTCCCAAGGTCATTTTTTTTCCGAGTTTACAAGATCACTGATGTTTTCTTTTTTCGACGAAAAAAATTTAAGTTTCGTACTATAGAGCGGACCAAAAGTCACTTTCTGAAATAAATTATTTTTTTATTAATTGGAGCGAACGCTCTGGCGATGAACGTTTGAAAGGAATCATTTCGTCAAAGCGTAATGACGAACGAAATCACGCTTGAACTTAAATTTAATTTAAAATTTAATTTAAAATTAGTTCTCTCTTGTATTTTGACGTTTCATTAAAAAAGATAGGTGAGAAGAAACTCTTGGCCCACCCTGTATGCGTACACACGTACATACGTTTCGAATTATCTATTTTTGCTGTGAAAAGTAGATAATGAGAGTGTACGTCTCTCAGACAAATCAACTCTCCATTGGGTCTGTAAATTGAAGAAGAAAAAAAAAAAAAAAAAAAGAGAGAGAAAACTGTTTTCATCATCAATGGTCCACGGTCGAGTTCTCGCGTTTAAAACTAAACACTATCATGGTTTCGTTCGCAGAATGGTGAGCACGGTGTTGTCAGTACTTATGAAAGAAGGCTTCGACGTGAAAGCGTTGAGAGCTTTTCGAGTGCTACGACCTCTCAGGCTGGTTTCCGGCGTACCAAGTAAGAAATAAATACGCGAATATCTATTTATCTGGTACTAGCTTCGTTCGTTGTATCGTTCCACGACATATAATACTGGCTGATCGGGCGCTGACGAATGCCTCTGCCGATTTGTGCAGGTTTGCAAGTGGTTTTGAACTCTATTTTGAGAGCGATGATACCCCTTCTCCACATCGCTCTGCTGGTTCTGTTCGTCATCATTATTTACGCTATCATCGGCCTCGAGTTGTTCTCTGGGAAAATGCATAAAACGTGCAGGCACAATCTCACCGGTGAGTATCGAAAACTAATGTGTCTCTCTCTCTCTCTCTCTCTTTCTGTGTGTCTCGAAATAATTCTAGCAAACTCGCACAACATCCTCAACGTCGTAGATGAAATTAATTAATTCCCACGGCGTCAAGCCGTTCCAATTTAATTAACTGGAAATTAATTGGAAATTCGTCAGTGGAAATGATCTTTCGTAAAACGTATTGTTACGGCTTACCCATAAGTTCTCTTCAAATTTAATAAACATTGCCATCTAGCTGCAATAATTTAAGCCCTCTGTTGCATTCCGTTCCCAAATTGGGGGCATAAATTTCAAATGTTCTATAGTAAATTATAGTAGACAATTTATTGCAATAAATAACATTTTCTAATAATGAAATTAGAATAAATAATATTACTTATTACTATTACTTATATTACTTATTCTAAGTATAAAATTTTCTTATTTATTTCATGGCCACACTCATTTCTAAGTAGCACTAACAGCCATATATATTTCCAACTCAATTTCATAAATAAAAATTCATGCAATAGAGGATGGACTTGTGATACATTGAAATTTATCGTGCTTATTGTTAAATTATATTACAAGTTGAAACTCTTTGAAAGTATAAAATAAAATGTTGTACAGTATATCGATTTATTTGATGTGTATGGCCTGCATATATTGCAGCGACATGTTGAAGAAAACGATAGACGCCCATAGTTGTGCTGCGTGGCGTCGCATACGAGGCTACAAAAGTATGCGATGACAAGCGGACAGCGATGAGATAATGATAATCCTAACGGACGGGGTAAAGAATTTCTCGAGAGATGAAATATGGTCGCGACGCTAGTTGGCAGAGCGACAGTTCCCCCTCCGCCCGCGAGATCTTAACCGCGAAACACAGTTTGCATCCGCGACACACTATTTTAGATGTGATTCAGCCGCCGATTCGGCTAACAACTACTCTAATTATTCTTTGGCCACGCGATCTGCGTTGTCGT